TTTGTAAATTAAAGAGCTCACAACAGTTTTGAAAAAGAGTTGTGCATAGAGATTATTGCATGGTGTGGGCTAGTTGTGCTCTCTCATGCAGAGAGGTTGGCTTCTGGTATGTATACAATTAAGTTGCTAGCTGTCAATTGCACCTTCCTACAATGTAAAATAGAATGGTTTCTACGTCGTCCAACAAACTATATTAATTTTAGTAATTATTATTTATAATGAACAATGCTTTAGCAAGAGAAGCCAAGATAATAATTTTTCTATACATGTACCTTAGATAGGCTTTTGGCTTCAAGCCCATGCTAAGCGCTTTGTCTTCACTCATAATCAAACAAGCTGAAGCACCATCAGTCTACAAAGAAGACATGTATTATTGATAATCAATCATGCAAATTAGGTTATGCCTGGGGAAAATGTTAGTCCTTGTTGATGAATAACRTGAAAGGATTTATGAAAAAGTTAAAAGTTACAGAAAAGAAAACTGATTTTAAAGTAATTGCAGGATTTATAAATGAGTACATGAATGATTGAATTTATGAAATAATTATTGGAGAACTAAAAGTGCATTGCTCACCAGAAAGGAMGCATTGGCAGCTGTAATTGTTCCATAAGGTTTGACGAATGCAGGTTTAAGCTTTGCCATCTGTTCCTTAGTTGATACTCGTATACCATTATCAACGGTGATGACATCTGTTTTTCCAGGTACCTGGTAGGCTAATACGTCAGTCAGTTTCCCAGCATCGGTAGCTTGTTGAGCTAGCATGTGTGACCTCATTGCATATTCATCCTACATTTTAAACAAATACCAGTAATATTATAAACTTAATCAAATTATTCAAAATAAACCAAAACATTTRTTAAAAGTTGAGAACCAACATCTTAAATTGCTTTACACACCTGTTCTTCTCTTGTGACATGGAAAGCAGACGTTAACCTTCAAGACACACCATATAGTCAGTGAGTTATTGAAAGATTTTTTAAAATTTGTAATGCATTTACAATGTAGTAGTCAGTTTGATTTTCCATTAGGTTCATACCTGTCAGCACTGTGTCCCATTGTTTCACTTGTTGAAAATTCAGCAACTGCTGGAAGCTATTTTAAAATACATGAAAAACAATAAATTACACATCAAAACAAACAAAATTTTAACATAAAAATGAATTTACTACAATATTAACTTAATATATAAAATGTCATGCAATTGGCTGCGAATGTGGCAGTATTAAAAATACTAAATATTGTATTGAGAATGATGACAAAAAAAATTGAAGACTGATAAGATTGGTTGAATAATTACCTCAGGAGCCAAAAAGCTTGGTCTTATTGAAGCCAGAAGTCCTAGTCGTGCACCAAGTGACTTTGCCTGAAAGAGTGAATTATATTGAATATTATCTCAGTAAAATGACTATTATTTTGTTCCACAAATTTTCTRTGAAAAGGTTACGTACCTTGTTTAAAGTGAGAAGTGTTTTTCTTAGTGGTCGACTAAGTCTGATAGGAACATCAGACATAAATTCAACACCTCCTGCAACAACTGAATCTACACTACCAGAAGCAATAAGGCTAACACCTTTAAAACAAAATAAAATGTCATAATATGTGTAATTCATTTGACTAGATTAGAGGTGAATCCTTCTGAAAACTCTTATAATATTTGATTTTGAATGCAAGGCTCATTACATTTATGTGTTCAATGTTTTTAATCTTTGATATTAAAATATCTATTTATATTACCATCCTTGTCAAAACGAACCTACCCGATGTTATTGCTTGATTTGATGAAATGCAAGCCATTGTTACTGTATGACAAGGAACCTTRTCTGAAATCCCTGCACCAAGAGCAGCCTAGAATAATTTGTAAAATTTTTGATTAATTATTGAGCTTGGAATCTTGAATTTACAGAATGATATAATCCACCTAAATACTTTAAATGTAAAAGTAATAATTCTTGATAAACTGATACAAACCTCTCGTGCAATATTGCTTGTTTTAACTTCTTGGATTACTGTTCCAATAACAACATGGTCAATGGATTCTGTTGAATAACAAAAGTTATATCACATGTAAACTTGTGAAGGGGTGTGCATATTATTATTAATTATTATCTATTATTATTGTTTACCTGAACCAACACCTGTCTTATCCAGAAGACCTCTGCAACAATGGGATAAAAATTGTATTAAATAGTACATTAATGTAATGATTAATTTGAATCTTTATTATATCATTTTTGTACAAGTACTCACTCTAGTGCTCCCCTCTGAAGATCATGAGGCATCAAACTTGCATAGCTAAAATAATCATTTATTATTGAATTCAGTTACTGAATTTAGYATGGCCCACAGAATTTTTTGCTTGAAAGTAGTTTCAGACATGTTAAAAAAATAAAAATAAATTATCTGCTTCACACTTTTTGCTAGCCTCCGAAACATCGGTTTCCGGTAGTACACTCCACCTCATAGCGTTGGTAAACTACAAGAAAAGGATGCTTCGGAGGCTAACTTTTTGCCTTTGTGCTGTAACTAGAGACAATTTTATTCTACCTTGTGCCTGACTGTAAAAATGGTGTCCTTACTCCATCTATCAACACAATATTCTTTCCAGTGCTTTTTGCAGGTGCTGAAAAGTAGTTGGCACAAAATACATAAGCTTATAATGAAAATACATTATAGGGCAATTTGAATCAAGAACAGTAAAATGGTTTTAAATTCACCTTTTGCAGAAGATGCTTTCTTCCTCGTTTGAGCAGCATTACTTCCACATCTTATGGAYACTAAAGCATAACCACAGCGTTGTTTAACGAACAATGTAAAGATCATTCATGTTGTGTTTTTTTTTACAAGCTTTAAGCTTAAATTAATTGAAAACTAAATGTAAGCAAAATCACATGAACTATAGCTGAAAGCAATGAAAAAAGTCCACTTAAAATAAAAAAACCTTGACAATAAATGAATTWAGAGCACAAACGAACTGTTGTACTCTCAGATCTACCGAATATACCCCAATTTCAGTCATGGATAGTAAAGTGATGTCAGAGTAGGACTTTGACCCTAGAACTTGTAAGAATTTAATATAATTTACAATTCAACTTTAATTTAACACGATAAGCAGTACGTTATGTTATTTTTGACTCACTATACTTACGGTTATAAAATGTGTTCTTTTGGATGTTATGAGCCAAAGATCTCCACAGTTTTCCACCWTGTAAAACGGCAGCCATTTTGAAAGGGGAGATGGGAACTTGGTAGCCGCGCCTTAGATTGTCTTCGCCAAAGTCGAAACTTTGACGACATATTTCCGAGTATTTATCGAAAAATGTCGATTTGATCTCGTGAATACTCGTGTGGACACTCGTGTGTGCATCGGTGAATATATTATGGACTATTTTTCACACTTGGCCGACACGAGGACGTCGAAGCGGGAGAGTTGGTAAAACTTTTACCGGGTTTCTCCTTGTAATAAGTTAATTCATAAACATTCGCTATGAAAAAGTGAAGAAATCGTTGGAAGGGTCAAACAGAAGGTATTTTAGTCATGGATTTAGGTAATAAATTCCCAGTTGGCCGTCCAGTCGACGTGTACGTCACCCATGTTCAAGATGAATCAGGAGCCTTCTTCGTGCAAATCAACAACGAAGAGGCGGGAAAGTTGGATGAACTGATGGAAGAAATTGATTTGTTTATYTCCAGTGGTCAATCGCAGGCTCTACAAGGTAGTGACATTGAGATTGGAGTCGTTTACTTGGCRCAATATTCTGTCGATGCGAAATGGTATCGTGCACGTGTTAAAGCTGTCAAACCTACCGGCCTCTGTGATGTGCATTTTATCGATTACGGTAATACTGAGCAGATCCCTGTCAAATTTGTGCGTCGTGCTCAGCCAGCTTTCCTCCAGTTGCATCAACAGGCGTTTCAATGTGAGCTTGATGGCATATCCAAATTCCAAGGCCCAAGCTTCATGAGTGCCATTTCTACCCTGAAAGAGCTGATTCTAGAGCAAGAGCTTGTGTGCGTGACGACGTCAGTCAATAGGGGTATCTTGTTGGTCAAAGTCTTTACAGATGCAAGCTGCAATAACTCTATTYTTGATAGTTTACTGTCACAGGTGCAAAGAACACCCCTTCCAGCTCCCATCAGCAATAWTCCTGCTCCATCATCAAGCAGAAAATACTCCATTGTGTCTCTAACCAAGGGTGAATATCTTGACTTCCAYGTTTCTCATGTTCAAGATCCTTACAGCTTTTCATGTCAACTACTGGAAGAGATTCCAAAGATACTGGAACTTCTTGATGAATTAGCAGAAGAATACAGTGATGGAGATGTTCCCTTGTTGTCAAGTTCTCCAGGGTACCCTTGCTGTGCAAAGTTTTATGAAGATGATTGCTGGTATAGAGCTGTAATTACCAATTCAAGTGGCGTTGCTTCTGGAACAATTGATGTTAAATTTGTGGATTATGGAAACTCTCAGACGACGTCAATTAARGATGTGAAAGGTCTCAAAGAGAAATACCTTGATATTCCCATGCAGGCAATTGAATGCTCACTTTATGGTGTGCAGCCAGAGGGTAAGAACCCAGATTGGTCTTCACAGGCTAAAGAGTTATTCTCAAAGCTGACTAGTGAGAAGCATATCATTGCTGAAATATGTGAYCAGRATTCYAGTGGAAAGTATCAAGTAAGACTGACTGATATGACAGGCGACATGGATATGCAGCTGGATCAGATTCTGATTGCAGCCAAGTATGCTGAGAAGGTTTCCACAAATACTTCATTGAAAACTCAAGTCAGTCAGCATAGTAATGTACAAGTGTCCAARCCCAGTYCTGAGCCMCCAAAACCTATTTTCCCCTTCACTAAAGAGGCGATTTCTCCAGGTAAAGAAGAAAAAGTTCTTGTCTCGTCAATACARAGCCCATCTGAGTTTTACTGYATGTTGTACAGAACATCCTCTAAGCTTGAAAAGCTAATGGCTGATATTGCAAGGCATTACTCAGGACTTAGTCGAGATGATGAATGGCTTTCTTCGCCATCAGTTGGTGACCCTTGCTGTGCCAGGTTTTCTGATGATCAATCATGGTACCGAGCTATTGTTAAAGATGTTCAAAGTTCTGGTAAAGTAAAAGTACAGTTTATAGACTATGGAAACTATGATACAGTAATACCTAAAGATGTCAAGAGATTAGCACCTCAATTCTCTGAGCTTCCTTATCAAGCTATAGGCTGCACAATGCATCGTATATGCCCAAATGGTCAAGACTGGAGACATATGGACACAAAAAAATTTGAAGAGTTAGCTTTGGAATACACTGGAAAGTTAACGRTCATTTCTGAGAATTCAGATGGAATGAAAAATGTGGAGCTGCTGATCAGTTTGAAGGGCAAAGAAGTTAATGTTGCAGAAGCTATGCTTCTCAGTGGTAATGCAAGGCTGGTAGAAGGAGCATGTTCACWGTCAGAAAACCTGGCAAGTATTTCTTCAAAGAWGTTCCCTAAGCTTAATCTACCACTAGGGACATATGAAGATATTTTTGTTACACATGTGGATGATCCAGCTAATTTCTGGTGCCAGTTGGTCAAACACAAAGATGAACTTGATGCAGTAATGAATGCTGTGGAAGAGCATTGCACTTTATTGAACACTCCATTACGAGCACCTAGTTTAGGTAAGTTCTTCCTCATGTTGATATTATATCAGAAACTCATAARGGGATTGAAACGTGTAGCACGGTCAGATGCTCCGGAATATTCAAAATGATTAGCATAATTTTGATACCATATTTGGGCCAAACATTTGAGTTTGAGATGAAAACAAAATGGTGAACAGACGGCGGCAAAAAGTTGTCTCGTTTTAAATGGTTCTAAAATGTAGCTAAAATGCTCAAAAGAGCTGAAAATCATACAAAATCAACTGATTACCATCCAAAGGACATGTAATGAGGTACATGTATATGGTTGTAAAATGACTTCATTTGATTTATTGGCGTTTTGAGTATTCCGGAGCATTGAACCAAAGAAATGTAGTGTTACTACACGTTTCAATCCACTTATGAGTTTCTGATTATATCAATTATTATCATTACAGATGTTTTAATACTTTTGTTTTGAATTCTATTGACTTCATCCACTCATTGAGGACTTATCTGGTGGATAGTCTTTCTCTGGTTATTTAATCTTATGTATAAATTATTCTGTTGAGCTGCAGTTCTTTGTTTTGGTTTTACATCTGTTTATAGGGCTTGCTTGCTGTGCTCAGTTTAGTGATGATGCATGGTATCGTGCAAATATCAGYGGAGTCATGAAGAACCATCAAGTTGAAGTCCATTTCATTGACTATGGAAACTATGATACCATACCTTTATCAAAACTRAGAACCGTCAAACCAGAATTGATGAATTTRCCAGCACAAGCCTTCAAATGTCGTCTAGAGCAGATGGACACTAAGAACTCTGCTCCATTCTCCCATGATGTGATTGACAAGTTTATTGATCTAACAGTTGATAAAGAATTGGTTGGTATGATAGCTTCATATGATGAATCAGCTCAGCAGTACTTAATTTCCTGTACTGACACAAGTGGTGGCAATACTCTTGATGTTTATGAGCAGATTGCATCTTCATTGCCTCAAAGCAGCGTAAAAGAGTGCATAATTCCCAAGCAAGACCTCAAACCAGGTCAGCGAGAACATGTTTGTATCACAACTGTAACTGGACTATCAAAGTTTTATTGCCAGCTAATGCGAAGTGCTTCTCAGTTTGATGCCATGATGAACAACCTGGATGAACACTACAACAAGCTGACAACAAYGCAGGAAGACATGTCCGGACTACAACCTGGGAATTACTGTGCTGCCAAGTACTCTGAAGATAACAGCTGGTACAGGGCCAAAATCATTGATTCTAAGATCAATGTGCTTTATGTAGACTTTGGAAATGGTGAGCAGTTGTCAGCAAAGTCAATCAAGAGGTTAGTTCCAATGTTTGCTCAGCTTCCTGAGCAAGTTTTGCTGTGTACTTTGGCAGGAGATACAAGTGGTTTTTCGGACTCTCAGTTCATTGACTTGACATTGGATAAAGAGTTTGACATGGAGATCATGTCATTTGATAACAATGGTACAGCCAAAGTCAATCTTTACACAAAAGCTGAAAAGAAACCTATTATTCAACTTCTGACAAAAGAGAAACCTAAACCAATGGTCAATATCCAACCAAACTCTCTTGCTGCTGGTGCCAAAGAAACTGCCTATGCTACATTTGCAGTAGATATATCAAAGTTTTATGTTCAGTTGTCCAAGTCAGGAGATTCTCTTGCAGAACTAATGAATGAGATTCATGAATACTACAGCAAACTTGCAGAGACACAAGATGGTTTAGATAGTCCCCAAGTTGGTATGTTTTGTGTAGCAAACTTTAGTGAAGACAATGGATGGTACCGTGCTAAAGTGGTAGCTGTTCATAGTGACAGCATAGAAGTATTGTACATAGATTATGGTAACTCTGAGGTGATTCCTCTKTCAAGAGCCAAGGTATTAAAGCCAGAGTTCGCCAGCTTGCCTTCTCAGGCACTTCATTGTAAATTGTCTGGAGTGGCATCAATCAGTGATGATGAAAGTGCTGGGAAGTTCTTGAAGCTTGTAGAAGACCCAGAAATGCCTTTTGARCTTCAAGTTGTTGCTGTTCAACCAAGTGGTGTCCATGAAGTCATRCTTGTCAACAAAGAAACTGGAACATCAGTTAATCAAGAATTATCGGGGAAAAGTGTTGTGTCTGACATAAGTAAAGGTATGATGGATTTACTTTTGTCTTCCCTTGTGGTTCATATCATTAATTTTGATGTTTAAATACTTCAATTAATAGTTTTACAAAAGAATTGTYTGAAAACATGTATTTTGTGCACTTGGTTACTGCAAAGTTTGGGTGATTCTGAYACAGCATAATATGCTTACTGATGAAGGTCAATGTATTGATTGAAATGTCTGTTATTAGATTAAAAAAATCAACAACTATTTATAATGATTAATTCTTGTTTTGTTTGTTTTCATCTTATACATGTAAACTTGCTTTTGTTTAATTACAGTAACCTCAGTTAGTCCAGCAAGTCTGAATCCAATACCTCTAACTATTGGAGAAACCTATGATGGACAAAGTGGAGTKGCTTCATCWCCTTCWCAGTTCTGGTTCTCACTTAACAAATATGTTGATGACCTTAATGCATTGCTTGATGAAATGGCAGAGTACTATTCATCACTTGGTCCAGCTGATGGTGTTCTGTCTTCABCTTCTGTTGGTTCATATTGTTGTTGTCAATACAGTGTAGATTTGGGATGGTACAGAGCAAAGATCATGTCTCTCACTGGCAGCCAAGCTGAAGTTTGTTTTGTGGATTTTGGCAATTCTGAAAAGGTTGCATTGAATGAATTGAAGGTAATGTRTTATTAGTTAGTGTGACCTWGTTGATGGCTCATGACAAGTATMTRTTGTCCATACTAATAACATGACTTGACTTAAATGTGTTTTGAATTTTTGTGAATGCTCAGGTACTTGAGAACACTCTAATGAGCCCAACATTAAATATCACATTTCTAAAATTTAGTAATACTGTATATAGACCAAGTGGGATGATGTTCATTTGTAAAAATAATTGTAAAAAGATGTAATGTAGATCCTAACATTTCTTTCTTTGTCACAGGTCTTAAAGGATAACTTTCAGAGTCTACCTATACAAGCAATATCCTGCTCTCTCAATAAAGTAACCCCAACAGACAGTGTGTGGAGTGAAGACGCTAAGACTGCTTTTAGTGATCTTATTGTTGAGAAAGATGCTGTCATCAAAGTCATCAAGAAATCATCTGATAATTGTTATGTTGTGGACTTACTAGATGTGAATGGACAACACTTTGCTGCTGACATGTTAAATAGCAAAGGTTTTGCAGCAAGCTCCRTRCAGCAGGGTTCCATTCAAGGTAAGATTTTTACATTATTACTAGCAGTGTTTTTTGAATTTCGAATAAAAGCAAAAAATACAACATATGACCAACTGTGTACRTACTGCACATATACATCTGGCCGGGTTGTTAAAAACCCAATTAACGTTATTCAAGGGTTGACTCCATAAGTATTTTAAGAGTTAACACAGGATTAGTGCTAATCGAGCTTTGAACAACCTGGTCCTGTGTTTCATATCAGCCTATCATCTAGATTACTGAAATATTATGTTTGCTAAAAATATAACCCTGTTACTGTATATTTTCTAGATTTCAAACCATTTGTGAARAACTTCAACTCTGGAGACTACATAGATGTCAACCCAMTATATTGCGTAACTCCTCATGACTTCCATTGCCAAGTATTAACTCAAGATAACATTGTAGCATTCAATCAGATGACAAACCAACTACAAGACGTCTACTCTTACATGGGTCCTAGTGAGAACACAATTGGTACACCTTCTAAGGGCATGCCCTGCTGTATACTTTACCCAGGTRAGTACTGATATAATAGGGTTGTCACAGATACTGTATAGATATTACATGGGTGCGCAGAGATACAGATTTAAYCTTCAAGTGTTGAAAATATCTTCATCATTCAAATACAATACAAAAAGATAAAGTCTGCATCTCCAAGCAACCATGTTTTATTGTTTGTCATATAATTATCTATGAAGGTAAATTATGTTTTGAAATAACTTTTATTTGCCTCCAATGTAATTATATGATACAAATGTTAACTACTGGAAATACCTTCAGTTATCTGTCAGGAAAGTCAATATGATTAATGTTGGAAACATTGCTCAGGAAACATGAAAAAATTTGAAAACTTTGGAAAAATATTGCAAATTTGAAGTATAGATATTCATTTGCAATGAGAGAGACAACGTGATAAAGTTCCATTTTTTAAAAGCCCATTCTGATAAATTGAATTGTTTTTATATGGATACGTAGCTGACAATACTTGGAACAGAGGAAGAATTGCTCAAGTCAACAATGACAACACTCTAAAGGTTACCTTTGTGGACTATGGAAATGAAGAGACTGTACTCTTAAATCAAGTTAAAGTGCTTCAGCCAGAATTCCTGGATCTTCCTGTTCAATCAATTCATTGCAGCTTGCACTCTGTAAAACCATGTACAAATAACCAATGGTCTGATGTTGCTGTGAAAAGATTCCTTGAACTTGTTGATCAGAAACACTTAGTAGGAGAGGTCATCGATGCAGGTACATTGCCTTAATGGTCATTAGAATGTCTACCCAATCTAAACATGGTTTTCACAAATTATTTGCTGTTCTTTCTTGCTTTATAACCATTAAAAGTAATTAAAACTTGGTTGAACCAACCCTACTTATAGTAGACATTTTGACAAATAATGGTTGCCTCTAATTGACTTTTTGTTAAGATACGTATATGATTTCATAAGAAGCTGTAGCAAAAACCTACTAAGATCCCCAAAAATTCATTCATTTTTTTAATATTTGCATTTTAATCCATGTGTGATAGTGTGTTAAAAATATGGATTTTCAATCAACATTATTAAGTTATTTTTGTTGTTAAGTAAATTATACTTTTTATTTCTTGCAGGTGACAAGTTATCCATTGAACTCTACGACACCATAGATGACTCTGTAGATGTCAGCATTGCTCAAGTTCTCATCAGTGAAAACCATGCTGTCTCAACATCACAACAAACCAAGATATCACACCCTAAGATTTCTAAACTCTCTCAGTTAGTACCATCCAATGGAGACACTGTATATATAACTGCTGTGGATTCACCTGAAAATATCTACTGTCAACTCAGTGGAACAGAAGACAGAATTGATAACTTAATGGCAAACTTGAAAGAATTTTACGAATCTGGACAACAAGAAGCTTTACAATCAATTTCACCCAAYGAATTGTGCGTTGCCTTGTTTTCTGAAGATGGTGTGTGGTACAGGGCTGTAGCTGAAGAGGTTTCACCAGAAGGAATCACWGTCAGATTCATTGATTATGGTAACTCKGAAACATTGAGCTTAGGCAGTATTAGGGCCATTGATAACCAATTCCTATCTGAGCAAATACTTGCAATAGAYTGTGCTCTTTCTGGTRTCTTACCTGTAAATGATGACATAGAATGGAGTCCTGAAGCTGCAGATTTCCTGGCTACTGCTGGAGGTGATGATGGCTTTACTTTGAACATCAAATCAGCCAAAGATACYCTAGAGGTTGGTCTTAGTGATAGTGGTGGTGATCTTTCACAGAGATTAGTGAATGAAGGCCTTGCTAAATCAACTATTGCCTCTTCTGTGAGCAATATTGCACAAGCACCACCACAGCCTAGTATTGCAGGCAACTACAAGGCTACCCCAGTAACTATTGGAACRGYRATGGAAGTYTATATCACWGATGTGACATCACCAGGACAGTTTTAYTGTCAGCTTGCAGATTATGGAGACAGMCTGGATGAGAGTAAGTCACAGTTAAATGCATTTATAACAACTCATCATGCTCATTATGAAATAATACCATTTTCTATGTATCTTTGTTTTCAGTGATGAATAGTATAAGCAACCACTACAGTAACATGGACCAATCACAAGCTTGCGTGTCATCACCTGAAGTTGGACAGCCTTGTATTGCAATCTTTGAAGAAGACAGTATGTGGTACCGTGCAAAGGTTGAGTCAGTGTCACAGCTTCATACTACCATACGATTTGTTGATTATGGCAACACTCAAAATGTCAAAGTCTCAGATTTAAAGCAAATTGAAGCACAGTTTTTGAAGCTGCCAGCTCTTGCAGCTCTTTGTACAGTTGATCCAAAAAAGGCTACTTGGACAGCAGATGAAACTGAGAATTTCAAGGCTGTTACTGGTGAAGAGAAAGTGTCTGCTGAAGTCATTGGAAAGGAAGGTGACAGATATGTTGTAAGGATTTCACAAGGGGGAAGCTGTGTTACTGATAGTTTCTTAAAAACCTCAGGTATGTTAGACGAAAACAATATTATAATTTTAGCTACTCTGCTAGCTACAGTAGCAGATGACAGTAATTATTGTCATTTGTTGTCAAAGCTTTCAAAATGAAGTAAGACAGGGCAAATGATATACAAAATACAGTCAACTCTTGCTATTATGGAGACCCTCGGGACCATAATTTAGTGTCCGCAGTAGTGAGAGTCCATTGTTACAAGAGTTACTTTCAGTCATTTCTTTGTATTTTTCTCCGGGAATTCAGTATTTAACTGTCAGCAATATTGAGGTTTCCGTTGTAGCGGGGTGTCCGTAAGGCGAGAGTTGACTGTACTAGATAACTTGAGAGATACAATAGTACTTAAAGTGATTTCTAAAATGGTCTTATTTTCACCCTTAAATTTGATTATTCATCAGTTTTGTTTCTTCTACAGCTCATCTAGATATCCCATGCCAAGTTATCCAASCAAACCAGACAGAAAATGTGTATGTAGCATTTGCCAAAAGTTCCTCAGAGATTTGTGTACAACTTGCATCTTACAGTGACCAGTTGGACCAAGTTATGGCAACCATCGAGCTTGAGATCAAAAGTCAACCTACATTAAAGGAAGACCAAGTTGTTCCAGGAATGCTRTGCTGTGCATATTTTGAAGATGGATGGTATCGAGCAGTAATAACATCGCAACCAAACCAAGGACAAGTTATGGTAGAGTATGTTGACTATGGAAACACAGCTTCACTTGCAGCTTCTGAGCTCAGGGCAGTACCCCAGTCTTGTGTTGCACTTCCAAGGCAAGCTCTTCACTGTATTTTAGAAGGACAAGGTCTTGAGAATGTGTCAAAAGATACTCTAGAGAATACACTAATGGAAAGCAGATTGACAGCAACATTTCTTAGGACAGATGGCCAGCACTGGACAGTAAACTTGAAACAAGATGGTGTCGATGTTACAGACATACTACTAATAAACACTGAGGTTGTTATCAAAGATCCTAACTTTACTTACCCTGAGATAGTAGCTGGGTCTAYTGCTCAGGTGTTTGTCAGCCATATTGAGAATCCTGGAGAATTTCATATTCAATTCAAGTCATCGACAGATAAACTGGATGTTCTAGGSAGCAAACTCAATGAAGYTTAYRGTCAGCCTGGTYTAACATGTAATGTTGAGGTTGGACGTGTTTGTTGTGCACAGTTCTCCGAGGATGGGTGTTGGTATAGAGGAACTGTAACATCACTTCAGGATGACTCACATGTACAAGTCCATTTTRTAGATTATGGGAACTCTGATGTAGTAGATAAAGGAAAGGTTATGGTGCTTAAAGAAGAATTCCTTGAACTCCCCATTCTTGCTATCCAGTGTAGTCTTGATTCACCTGGAACTCAGTGGTCTGATGGAGAGTTGAGCAAGTTTGAAGCCTTRGTACTTGACCAGGAACTTACTGTACAGTTTTTGGCCAGACAAGATAACCAGTGGCATGTTAAACTRACCTGTCTCGAGACATCAATCTTAGAGTTRATGAGAAGAGTAGAAGAAACCAATGTAGATGTCATTCTGGAGACGTTGACCATACCAAAAAAGGAAGTTTCAGAGGGTCTGGTTGTTRAATGTGTTTTAACTCATGCAGAACTCACTGGATTGTTCCACTTACAATTCCTCTCCGATCCCTTCCTAGAACATGTTACTGACATTATTTCTGACCACTACCCTTCTTTGTGGGCCAAAGAAAGCTGTCTTAATGACTGCCAAGTTGGGTCATTCTGCTGTGTCAAGTTTTCAGAAGATGAACAGTGGTACAGAGCAGTAGTTACTGGACTTTGCTCCAACTTTGATGCTATWGTGAAATTTATTGACTATGGAAACTCAGAGGTTGCAGACATTCCTTCTTTCAAGACTTTGTTGGATGAACTGTATRAAATTCCACAGTGTTCTATCCCTTGTAAGTTGGCTGGCAGGAAGTCAGAATTGTCTCCAGATGAGATTGAGGCACTTCAAGCTCAAATGCTTGACAAAACACTAAGTGTTACATTTGTGAGGCCCAATGATCAAGGATGGGATGTTGTAATTGAAGTTGAAGGGAAATTTTTGAATGAGTTTGAAGCAGTCACAGATGATRATAAAGATGAAGCAAAGCAGTTGAGTGTAGCCACATTGTYAAGGGATACTAGACAAGGTGTCAAGTTCCTTATGGCAGATAATGAAAGTACAGTTTGGMTTCAACCAGTGATAACAGAGAATGAACTTAACACCCTAATGAACAGTATTGCTGAAAATCCTCCAGATCAACCAATGCCYRTGTCTGAAATCTCCACTGGAAAGCTTTGCTTGTGTAGATTCACAGAAGATAATGAATGGTATAGAGCTAAAGTTATTGACTGCAATCATGATCAAGTGACTGTAAACTATGTAGACTTTGGCAACACAGAGACTGTTGGTGCTGTTAGAGTAAGCCCAATCAGYGAATSTTACTTACAACTTCCAGCACAGGCTATCAAGTGYAGTCTTTATGGTGTTGAGCCACTGAGMGAAGATATTTTGAACAAACTGAATGAGGAATATTTTGAAGTTCAGCTTGAAGCAGAAGTTGTCGAGASAAAAGAGAACGTGGACTCTGTCAGATTGTTTAAAGAAGATAAAGAGTTGATTTTAAACCTCGTTGAAATGATGAGTGTTTGTAAGGAACCAGTGCCTGCAGCCAGCCAGCTTCCACTTAATGAACCCATTGAAGAKGCTACTACTGAAAATGAGGTGGAAAAACAACAGGAAGGTGACAATGGAAGTGCTTTGGAAGAAATTGCTATTTCAGGTACTTATAATAATCTAYGTTTTCCTTCTTTACTTACCATAACTCCTTCTTCCAACTTGGAATTCCTACTTTCCATGTAGTGCTGAAATTTTCTGAAAACCCTTTTCATTATGTCAATGCCTTACTTGTTTAGGTTGCAAGTGTAGCTTGGTTCTTGTTGATTGTCACTTTCATCTTTGTCTTCTCTGCCTTAATTGAAGGGGCGGATGCGAAAACGGCCTAAGTGACGATTTAGGGTATTTTTAAAACTTTCCAAAAATTAAAAAAACATCATTCCAATCGCTTATTTTAAGTCTAAATAACCTTATTTAGTACTTATTTCTCCTGATTTCTTTCCAAAAAGAGCAAAAAAGGACGGCAAAGTGTGTAATTCATTGTTATCGCTTTGAAAATTCTTTATCGACGTAAAAAAGGCTGTTAAGATGCTCTTATTGTTTCAAATACGAATAAAGACAGCTCTGGAATTCATGTTATCCTAGATTACAATCACAGTTCTCGTGAAAAACACCAAACACGAACATGAATCACACTTCAAAACAAAATGGCGGTCGGCCAAACAACAAATACCTCGCATATCATCAAATCGCTTCGAGCGTCTCTACAAAAGCTTAATATCAATATAATCATGTGTTGTATTCACAAAAATAACATTTTTTCTTGGTAGAATTCATTCTATATATGGAAAACATTACTTAGAAACTTATAATTTATTCTAAACCCGAGTGAACTCGGGTTTAGAATAAACTAGACGCATAGCTGCGTGAACTCGGGGTTCTGCTTGAATATATTAAAACGATGAAGTGACAACAATGAGTGTTGTAGTCGAAGAATTGAGAAGAATTGGACTATATTGAACCTCAAATAAAGTTAATAGTCATACTATCAAAAGGCGTAAAGCAAAAAATACTTCCTGGAATAAAAAATAATAATAAAAAAAACAGTGTACTCAGCATAAATATTATGAAAAAATTGATCATCAGCAAGCCGGTCTCACTTTGATAGGGGGGGGGAGTTTGTTTGCTTTGCAAGCTCAGGTTTTATAGCCTAACGCTTAGCTAACGTTAACCCTACCCTACCCTAAACCCTAACTATTCTGACCCTAACCCTAAATCAAGCAACCCTAGCCCCATGTCTTAGGCTATAGGAACCCTAACTCTTGCATAAGGCTGGAACTAACCCTATGCCGCTAAAGTTTGGGGGAGGGGAGGGTACAGTCTGTAAGTAAATGTCGACTTTTTTTCCGATTTTTAAAAGGAGATCACGAGAAATAACTAGCAAACATGATTATTTAAACCAGAAACAAATGATTGAAGCGATTTTTTGAAGCGATTTTTTCGAAAATTTCAAAAATACCCTAAATCGTCACTTAGGCCGTTTTCGCATCCGCCCCTTCAATTATTTTATCCCATTTTATCCATCCATCCATTCCATTCCTTTTTCAAATTTGTACACTTTGCAAAGCATAAATTGAGATGTTTTTTTGTCTTTTTAAATTTAGATCAACCCATTGATTCCAATGAGAATTCGTCACTTGCTGTCGACTCGAAAAAAGAAAATATGGTCGCCATAGGAGCTGAGACTTCGGTAAGTGACATTGATGGTCACATGGTTGTTTCGTCACCCAGTCCYGAAGTTGATATGCAGAATCCTGATGAGATAAGGTTTCATAAGAGATAAATATTAAGAGAAGACCAACTGCTAGATCAAAATGCTGAAAGTTAAACAATGTTGATTTTTTCCATGTTTGATTGTCATGTTTAATTATTTGATGTGTTTTCTGTTTAGTTGTAAAAATTAATAATGAGTGAACTATCATTTTATGTCAAAAATTCATCACAGTGTTATAATGCAATCGTTTTCAGTCTTTGCATGCAATGTTTTTTGATTAAAGTTGACAAAGTAAATCTCTGTATAAAATTATAAATATGATAACTTAACAATGAATTGGGTGATAAAATTGTATTTGAACCTAATGTTATTATTATAAACTTGTGGAAAAGAGAAATTTGATAATAAACCAATCTAATAAACAACTAACTATGTTGTAATTGTCTTTTCTTGTAAATTAAATATTTTGTAGTATGGAAAAGCACAACTGTCCTTGTTAATGTSATGTGATATTCTAAAACTTCAGGAAGCTAGAGCATTTCAATCTTACAGTATCAGATAGAAATAGTGTAGGTGCCACTGATGTGTGAATTCAAATCATAAATATATATGACATAAAATACACAGTGCATCTGATGCACTGAACCTTAAGAAGACTTTTGATAGTTAATGTGGACTGCATTGTATCCTTAACTGAGCATGAAACGTGTTGATAAAACACTTGTGATAGAGTAGAATGTATGACTGTAAGCCGCGTGGCTGCTAATTGCGCCTTAAACAGCGGTCCGTGTGAAATGATCTATACATGTGAAGCACCTGTGAACCCAGAGGATATCGGCGCTATATAAATACCACATATTATTATTATTATTATTATTATGTAAGTAGTTAGTCTTGCATATATAGCAAAAAATTAGGTAAGCAAAATAGTTAATGAAGCAAGCTACCATAGTTGTACTCCGTTCTTTTGTTTTTTGTTGTTGTTGTTTTTTTGTTTTTTGTTGTTGTTGTTGCTGTTGTTGTTTTTTTTGTAAGCCTAGAATATTATGTTTCATTACTTTTATTTATTAGCCAGCATTTAATTTCCTGCTGTTGTTTTATCATTTAGACAAGCTTGCATCCTTTGGATCAAGATGATTCCAAAAGTGAGTTTGAAAAAAAGAATGAGGTTATTACAGAACTGAGTAAGGAAGAATTAGCATATTACTCACAAGAATGTGATGTAGGTGAAAACACTAGAATAGAGACAACTCATGTTTCTCTACCAGTGACAACAGAGAAAGATCTGGACCACCATGAGGACATTTCTTGTGAGAAAAAACAAAATGGTCTCGTTGATGAAAAAAAGGTTGAGTCTTCTACTGAAATAGTAACCTCTGCTGCTGATTTAGATTCTATTGTGAAAGATGGTATAGAAGGTGAAAGTATTAATGGTGATTTATCAATTCCTACAAAAATTGAATCCGATTTGGATGCTGCTGTGCAAGAACAAACAGAATTCATGGCTTTATCTAATGACGACGAGCAGATGATAACACAAACAGCACAAGATAAAGTAAAAGATGAAAATGCAGATGCTTATGTTGCGGCCTCACAAAGTGAATGCACTGAACCAATCTTGTCAAAAGATGCTGATGACAAAATCATGGAGATTCCTGAAAACTCAGCACAGGAAATAGAATCTGAAGAGAAAGAAAAAGAAGTTCACCAATTACTTCAAGTTTGTGAAGAGACTGTTCCTGGAACTGATGCATTAGAAAAGAATGAAACAATGGAGGCAAATGAGCAGAGCTTRCAAGTTCAAAAACAGGATGCAAGTGAAAATCTTCAAGTGCAAATTAAAGAAAACGAGGATATGATGTCAGAAACCAATGAAGAGAATAAAATATTGAAAGATGATGACACAAGTGAAAGAGTTCAAAGTATCAATTCAAATGAAGATCTTCAAACACAAGCCACAGAAGTGGAAGATGATGAAGCCATGTTAGAAAGTAATTCTGAGCTGAAATCATCAGAGGCTTATGACACAAGTCAATCAGCTGAACGACTGGATTCACATGAAGAMAACCAAACASAAGCWGCTGAAGAAAATAAAGATGGAGCAGATGCGACAGAAAGCAAGACAGAAAATATAACATCAGAGGGTGATGACACAAGCCAGCAAGCTCAAAGCCTGGATTCACATGAAGACAACCAAACACAAGCTGCTGAAGAAAATATAGATGGAGCAGATGTGACAGAAAGCAAGACAGAAAATATAACATCAGAGGCTGATGACACAAGCCAGCAAGTTCAAAGCCTGGATCCACAGGAAGAAAACCAAACACAAGCTGCTGGACAAAATGAAGATGAAGCAAATGTGTTAGACAGCAAGGCAGAAAATAAAACAGTAGAGACTTATGACACAAGCCAGCATGTTCAAAGCCTGGATTCACATGAAGAAAGCCAAACACAAGCCACTGAAGAAAATGAAGATAGAGCAGATGTGGTAGAAAGCAAAACACAGGCTTGTGATACAAGCCAGCAAGTTCAAAGCGTGGATTTACATGAAGATAGCCAAACACAAGCCTCTGAACAAAAAGAAGAAACAAAGATAATAGATGAGAACAAAAAAACACCAGATGTTGATGAAACAGTTAATCAAGTTCAAGGCATGGTTTCTCATGAAGATCAACAAACACAAGCCAATGAACAAGAAGAGGATAGAAGTGATATATCAGAAAATAACTGCAACAATGAAACCTTGTCTGTCAACACACCTCAAAGCCTGTATTCAACTGACGAAAAAGCTACTGAAGAAAAAGAGGAAGTCACCGATATGTTAGAAGAAGTCAAAGATGAAAAATTTGTGACTTCTGAACAAATTACACAAGAAGAAGACACARGTGCAAATAAGCATCTTCCAGAAACTGAAGAGAAAGAAGGAGATAAAGTCCAGTCTAAGGATGAAGACATTGAAGCAGCTGTATCTGAATCTTCTATTGAACATGACACACAAAAAGATGATGAAGGTAAAGCCAAAGRTACAACAAGTGCTGCTATTGAAAGTAAAGAAGATGACAGCCTTCCAATGGAATTAGGTTCTTCAGAACAGGAAAGTGAACAAGAGGAGGTAAAAGCCTCAAATGGACACATCACTAATGGAAAAACAAACCCATGTGACATTGACAGTGCTACTGATGATAGTGATGCTCATAATGATGGTTGCTTGTCAGATTCAGCTTTGGAGAAGCTGGACAACTTGCTGGAAGGACCTGAAGCTGAAGAGTTTAGCCAAGGAGCAGAAGGACGTATGAAAAATAAAAAGTCATGTCAGCCTATGTGAACCTTGCTAGAAGAGAGACATTAAAATGCTTAAAAGCATTTCTGTTACTGTTATTATTTAGCAACAGTGCAAAGCAAGCAAGCAATTGTTTTCTATAGAGCTATATATTAAGTAATAGTTATTGACTGTCTTTTAATGAAAGGTGGTTGCTAAACCTTTGCACAACTACATGACTAGCTTAAACAGAAGTATGAGAAGCAAAGTTCTGTACTAAAACAAGGATCCTTTACTACTTCTTTACGGCACAGTTGCAAAGTTGCAGAGAAGTGAGTAATCCAGCCTTTTATCAAAAGATTCTGATAATATACACATCCAACCTTTCCTGGCATCCCGTTCAATGGGTTATTGAACTTAAAAATTAGTCTCTAAAGTTTTGTTTATTTCATAAGACAATGGGAAAGACGAGGAAAATATACTGAGATTTGCATCAAAAAGTATGTACATGTGCTAACAGTTTTGATGGTCATACCAGGCATTGGGTGAGAATGTTAATTGAATGCATTTTGTTGTGCAAAATTCCCATTATTTCTCTGTGATAATTCCATATGCAATCCACATATTTAATCTGGTTGACAACTTTGTGCATCATTGAACACTAGTTTTAATTCAACTAACGTCTTGACAAGTTGGTATTTGATTCAGACTAGTACTCTTGAAGGTTTTATAAAAATCTGTTGTTTAGCACATATATTTTTTACTAAACCCTCAAAACTCTTCAGAAAAAAGTGTAGAAGTTTTTTTTTTTGGCATGTTTGTTCCCTGTGGAGTGTGAACATATATTTAATGGTACATCCAGAAAAATCCTATTGCTTTATGTATAAGGAAGAAAAATTGTTTAATCCATAATGATTATAATTTACTAATAATTGTCTTATGGTATGATTTAAGTGTGCCCTTTCATTAACATATAGAGTTATATCAGGATMTAGAATGGACCCATTTTCAGAAGCTGCAGTCATTTTTGAGCCTATTTTCTAATCATATCAATTGCTTGCTATTCTGAATAGTCTTTTCGATATATTCTATTATATAAATGTTTTCTTGATTGCCATGATTGTGATTAATGAAAAAGTGATTGTTAAGTTGGTGTAAATATGTAAGTTAGAGTGGTTATCATAAGATCATGAAACAAGGTGTATTTATTTACTTGTAAAGATTTTTTGTAAAAATATGAACAATTTTATATAGTCTTGTATTTCTGGTGAGTGCTTCAAATTTTGAAAGATTTGATAATTCAAATACAGTAGGTTTTCAAGGCATGCTTACCCCAAATCTTTTTGAGCTTGCAATTACTACAAAAAGTAACATGTATTTATGACAAACCACTCTAATTTCATAATTCCTTGTTCATGTTTTGACACAACATTTTACAGAACAATGCTTATAAGTATAAAGTTTATAATAATATATAGTTTTTCAAAGTTAAATAGTAATATTAAAAACATCCTGCACAGCTAGAGTGCAAACACTAAAASCATGAAAGAACGAATCAAATAGTTCAACACAGTGTAGATTATACAAAGGAAAACATAGGAATKAGGATAATTGGTACAATTCAGCACTATTTGGTAAACTTGTTCATGGTCTTAGTGTTTGCACTTGATTTCTTTGACAGTGAAAGTTTCTAATRGAGATATTTTTGTATACCAATACGTTTATACAAAAATGTATTTCTAAAACAAAAAACAGTATTGCTATAATAACCATTAAACATCCTATTTACTTGATTTTGCATATTGTGTACTTTGAATCATGGACTAAAAAATCTCAAAATCCCACATCAATAACTTATAAGGAAAATGACAATGTTCAGGCAACCTGTTAAGTTTTGATCAATTACTGTTGCATGTGTGGAGACCCCTGCAGTAGGCAGCAAAGAGGGCCCCCTTAACTCAAACTTACTGTAACTTACAGAATTGGCATGGAATGTTTGTTAGAGGTGCATACAACCTTTTCTGACATATAAGTTTGCATTGCATTGTGGTCTAGATTTGGTGCATCTTTTGTTCATGCTGCCAAATATGGCATTTTACTGAGTTTAGACCACAATGCACCATGATTTTGTAATTCAGAAAAGGTCTAACTAGCAAAATATCCTCTAATAATGATTTATCATGATCACACAGCYCTTATTTGTTACACTACACTTTAGTTTCTTTCCCTGAAATTACATAACTTTGACRCTGAGCTTCAAATTTAGTTCTACTATTTATTAGACTTCATAATCATGTATCTTTCTCCTGATTTTTGTTGATTGTAATCCATCCAATTTGAGTTCCATACTGACTGCCATCCCTTCTGTAGGAGAAAAACCTCTGCTGTGAGTCACAATATGTGCATTGTGTGACGCGTTGGCCAGACTCGATTTCTTCAAACTYCCTTAAATTCATAGAATAACATTAAATTTAACATTTACAACTATTTCATATTGCAGAAATTAGATTTTTAGACTTCTTATTTTTTTTTTGGTCTGCTGTCTATATTCCTTTCTGATTTGATTTATTAACTGGAATGTGAGACACTTCTTTTCCTTTGAAATAATTACTCTGAAAATGTCTTGCCAATTCATATATTGTCCACTTGACCTCATAGTATAAGTATACCATTTTCTCAATGTCAATAATTGCACCCTTGCATGGCTTTATTTGGACTTCCTCCATAATTATAATAATACAAAGTGTATACCTTGCACTATCATCAATATTTTGTGGCAAAACTCCATATTTTTCCAAAAGGAACCTTGTAGTCTTGCATAGATCAACAAATGGTTTGGGTTTATTTTCCTTCCTAACTACCAAATCACAGGAAATGGCWGCAAATTGTTTTGCAACATCTTCACCAACTTCAAAGCAGCAAGGTCCAATAGTTGGTCCAACTGCCACACATATGCTGTTGATATCGCAATTGAATCTTTTCRTCATCAYATCAAGCACAGAATGACTAATATTTGCTAATGTCCCTCGCCAGCCTGAGTGAGCAGCTGCACACACCTTTTTCAGTGGATCACAGAACARCAATATGGAGCAATCGGCACCTGGTGCAGCTATTGTAATACCAGGTTTGTTAGAGACTAATGCATCATAACTCTKYGGCTCAGGATCACCAATCACCCACACTTCATTCCCATGWACACATTTTGCCATGWAGAATTGCTGAAMRTCATAGCCACAATGAAGTGCYAAACGCCRTCTATTCTCTGCTATATTAACTTTAGGGTCCCTTCTTTTTGGATTGAACATGAGATTCAAAGATGATAATGTCTTGTRTGTTGATACACCTCCAGACCTAGTTGTAAAACCATGCTTAAATATTGTTTCTTTAATGAGGKGGGAGTTCAGTAGGGTTATAGRTTTTCCATCAGGTGAAGCTKTGATATGAAAGGGAATGTCAGCAATATTCCTATCAACGCAATGAGAAAGCATTTCCTCTCTTTCCTCTCTCCATTTCATAGTTTCATCATCCAACTTCTGCAGGGAGTCATGAAAATGAAGTTTGTAGATGTCTGGAGAGTAAATCTGTAAGTCAACCAGAAGTATTCATCAATAAATTTATCAAAAAGGCTTGCATGATAAGAATAATATATACATATGCTCAATAATTTAGGCAACATTGGAAATAACAAATAGTTGTAAAACTTTAAAGCCATTATATTCGACTACAGATCCAGAACATATATGAATGGGGGTAGGGGTAGATATCTTTTGATGAATGCTRCTTGAGTTGTAWTTCAGGATGACTCCYAWTCAAATGCAWTTTTTTGTTTATTTACTGAGTTAACTTGTTATAATTTCTATTTTTTAGYAATAGAAAARGGGGGTGGATAGCCACCATTAAATCATTGTCCCACCCCACATCATGGGATTCACACTCGAACCATGTCCTAAAGTGTAGTATGCAACTATAATTAATGTGTAYGTMGTGCTTCATCAACAAGACCTTTTCAAATATATTCTGTGATCTCTTTAAGTGAAACTGAGTAGTCACAACATGGATTTGACTAGCACCAAGATTGTCAACAATGATACGACTCCAGTAGGCATTTCCTTCAGTATTTGTGGCCAGTTCCTCTATAATGACATGCTCTGTAGGCAGTAGTCTTTTCTCTTGTATGTAATTCAACATTGCTTTAGCTTCTGTGATGATCTGAAAAGTAAATCTTGATTGTTATTGTTGTCTTTTAAACATGAAACCTGACACTCTGCACCTTTATAAAAYCATTGGTCACCCTCTGGGTCACCCTTGCAAACCCCAGTTCTACAGGGAACCCAAATCTGAGCTAGATGATGTCTATTGACAAAATACTGTAGTGCTAGACCATTATTACAGGGACACATATTGGGGTCTAGATCAATTATTTATTGTGTAAATCTCTGTCAATTTCTGATTGTATTCCTTGCTGTAAAAGCCAATATAGAGAGTTATGCAGAGTGTAGAGCTGTACCTGGTCCCCAGGGGCCTGATATCCAGTGACTATAACCCATGGATGGCTCATGTTTTCTCCATTGGCATTATCGGTGACAAGCGAATGGTAAATATTGGCTGACTTCTTCACACGGTGTTTCATCATCTCTGATGCAGTGCCATCAGCATTTGTGCGGCATCCTAGAATTATGATAACTTCTGGTGCAGCCATTTAGGACCATTTAGTAGCAGCTAGATTAAAAAATGATACAAAATTGAAAGWAAGTTAAGTAAGATTTAAGCTTACAATACAAAAGTTCTTGAAAGTTGTAGCAAATTGAGGTTGTTTCTTGCACTCTCTTCGGCAAATTAAGTTACCTTGCATTATATTAAATTTTTCATGGAATGTAACCTAAGTAATCATGTTTTTTCAGTTATTACCTTTTGTCAAATTTACAYGACGATCATTCATTCTTCTAAAACGTACTTCCGTGTACCACAGGAAGCCCATATAATGATGATAACTGACTGAGGGAGGGTAAGTTGAAAAATGCAAATAAAAACTCGCTAAATACTCATCCAAATGACCTGWAAAATAAAAATTAAAGGSWCGACATAGGATGCTTTTTTTATTTTTAATTCGTATCAAATTTTCAGCAAAAATTGAATAATGTAGAGCTTGGGCTACCTGTGAT